TAGTTAAATAATTTTAGAAATACTTGAGGCTCAGTCTATTGAAAAATAAAAGATTATACAAAGAATAAAATTTTGAAAGAAATTCTAAATTCAGTTGAATTAATTTCTTTTAAATTGAAAGAGAATCAATCCCTATATAAGAACCTTGAATCTGTGATTAAAAATGGAGGCCTTACAGTAATTCACTTCAAGATAAAAAAGAGGACATTGAAAAAAGATTGGCAAAATTTTGATTCAATAAGAAAGAAGCAATCAAATAAAAAAAATTTTGTAAGAAGATCGAGTTAGAGTTTGTGGAAGAAATGCTAAGATTTATAATAGGAAATACCAATTTTTGATAGATGAAAAATTGTTAAAACCCATTGAGGTAATGTTTGTTTTCATTTTTTTGTGATTTTTGCATAACTTTTATAATATTTAATTGCTTACTCTTATTTTTATATTTATTGCATGGCATTTATTTTTGGATGACTAGTATTATATTTGCATGATAATTTATTTGCCTAATATATTTGTTTGCATGATTAATATACTTATTTGTATGATTTATTAATATATTTACATGATTATTAATATATTTATTTGTATGATTATATTTAATTTGATTACATGATTATTAATATATTTAATAGCTTGATTTATGTATTATTATTTGCATGATTATATATTTAATTACATATTTATTATTTACATAATTATATATTTAATTACATGTTATTTGCATGGTTTATTTTTATTTTTTTACTATTTTATTTAAAATAATTATTATTAGAATTTTTTTTAATTTACCATTATTCTAATAAAATTTAAAATATTTTTTATTTATCAGTGGCACATTTACAATTATTCAAAAATTTATTATTTGAAATATTATTTTTTAAGCATTTTCTTTATCTCTTTTATTATTTTTAATTTTCTTAAAATTGTTTAAATTTTATGGTAAAATTATTATTATGTAAATAAATTTTATTTATCACTTTGTTTAATAGTTCTATTATTATTTCCCTATTATTTAAAATAAATAAATATCCCATGTTCAAACAAAATTAAATTTTAACATACATATATTAAATATAAAACATAAATACATATAAAACCAAAAACAAAAGAAAAAGAAAAAAATATAAGAAAATTACCAAAATGGTCTGTCAAATCGGTCAACTAGCGGATCAAGCTTTTTTGGGCGGTCTGGAGGCAGTTCATCCGGTTCACTTGGCTGTTAGGGGGTGGTTCAGCGGCTTGCGGAGGTTTTCCACAAATTAAAACGGTTCGAAGGAGGTTCACTTGATCCGGTCAAGGGCTGAATAATGGAAACTGGAGCGGGTCGAGAGTGCGAACGTCTGATCTAGTTCGGGTCCACGGGCAGATATCCACCCATTCAAACGGCGTCGTTTTAGTTTTTGATTTTTGATTTTAACTATAAAATATTATTTTTTAAAAAATTCATTTCTTCTCTCTTCTTAGGAAAAAAAAAATCCTTTATCTTCTCAACAAAGCCCTCCACGCAACTCCAGCCGGCCGCCCCCTCATCCACCGGGCGACGTCGTTTTGGTTTTTTTTTTTTAACTATAAAACTATTTTTTTGAAATTCATTTCTTCCCTCTTCTTAGAAAAAAAAAACCGTTATCTTCTCAAGGAAGCTCTCCACCCAGCTCCAGCCAGCCGCCGTTCCGGTCGCCGCTTTCTCCACTGGGCGGCATCTCTTGGGGCCCAAATTTTACCTGGACCTTCCTCTTGACCTCCCCTTTCACGTTTGCCCAAAAAAGTCTCAAATAGCCCAGATCTGAGCCGAAACGTCACCTTTTAAACCCCAAAATATCCTCTGCCGCCGCTCCCAAAGGCCACCGCATCAAACTATGCTCTGCCCCCACCCATGGCCTTCCTCCTCTCCAAATATCCAACCCCTAAACATCCCAAATCACCCAAACCTAAAACTCTCTCTCTTATTTTTTTCGTTGCTTTTTTTTTTTTGGCAGATTGGTTTCCTCACCACGTGAGGACTGTGGTTTTTGTTATGTGGCTTTGACTGAGGTTCCTCCCCAAGGGGAGGACTATAGCTTTTTGTCATGATTTTCGGTTTTTTTTGTTGTTATTTTTGGCTGTGGGTATTCGGTAATGGATTATGGAGAGGCGACGAAGGGTGGTGCTTGTGGAGGTAGTGGGAATATCGGCAGAACCCCTGTTGTTCCCTTTGGCCTCTGAATTTTTTTAGAAAACCCCCCCCCCTCTTTTTGTTATCTCAAAGCCTCCATTTTGTTGAGTTCATCCCCCATTCAAATCCCAGGTTTTCTGGGATTGAGAAAGACTTCGGGAAATTTGGCCGGTGAGTGGCACCTTGATTTTTCAACTGCCAGCAGAAAGAGGCTTTGACTCTTTTTTAAAAGTAATAATAATAAAAAAATATCGATATATAATAATTGAATTTAAAAAAATAAATATAATAAATACTCCAATATGTTTAAACACATCAAAATTTCAAATATAATTTAAAATTTATTTCGATCAATTCAAATAAAATTACGCGTTTATATCTATTAAATTAAAAAAAAAAAAAGTTCTACGTAATCATTTAATATTTAAAGGAAATGCCAATCTTTCTGCCTGATCTTTTGCTTCCATAGCAAGGGTATCATGCATGTCTTTATAGGTCATATTTTTTTTTTTATAGAGAGGTTAAGGAGTGACATTTGATCCATTTGAGTTAAGTTTTGGTTTATAGACAAGTCATTTTTTATGCTTCAAGGATGATGCTCTGTTATTTGACTTATGCAGGTTGTAACAGTGTCTAGCCTTTTCAAGTAGATTATGAACTGGTGAAGCACAAAGTGAAACAGTTCACAATTTCAAGCTTGCGGTTGATTATAGGGTTTTGCATTACATGTTTATTCGTTCCATGATTTAGATTCTTAGGAAATGCCACATATTATTCCTTTTATTTATGTTTATTTTTGTGATTTTCAGATTAGAACTACCAAACAATGCACGATCTTAGAATGACATATGCATCAAGTAATTCGCATACTTTTTTTTTTTTTTTAAATATGAAGTTAAACTTTAACTTCGCATTGACAAATCGAAAGTGACCATCCGATGAAATTTAAATTTTAATTTTCATATTACTTCTCAAATCTATAATATTAATTTTGTATATTTTGAAAAAAGGTGAAGAGTTTTCACTGATATCTCAACTTCTTTCAAAATTTATTTTTATTTTTAATTTTATTTTTTATTAAATAAATTTTGTAAGAAAATACTAATTAAATTAAAGATAATAAAATAATTCATATATGATGAATTTTCATTTATTTCTATCCAATATAGGTGTATTTTTTTAAAAAAATTCAAGATCAGATCATAATTTTTTTTTAAATCAAGATTGAGTCGAAGACGAACTTAAAAGAATTTCATTTCACTTTAAGTATATATAAAAAATTATTTTTATTATTTAATTAATTTTATAATTATATATGTGTATTATATTATTAAAAGTTATTATGTAATATTTTAATTTAATAAATTACCGTAACACCCTCATTTGACTTCTTTTTTTATTTTTTATTTTTTTAATTAGATAAATTATGTAAAAAAAAAAAAATTAATAGAGGTAAAGATGATAAAACAATCTATATCCTAAGTGTTTAGGTTCATTTTGATCTAATAAGTATATATTTTTAAATTTGAGATTGGGTAAAATTTTTTTATTAAATGGCTCAAGTAAAAGTTAGTTTAGCTTGTTTCAACCATTTTGGAGTATATATAAAAATATATTTTTTATTATTTATTTATTTTTATATTTATATATATTATATTAATAAATTTATTATTTAACATATTATTCTAATAAAAACTATATTTCTACATAATTAAAATGTAATTTATATTAAATAATAATATTTTTATGAATATTATATTGAATTAAAATTATCAAACTAATTTAGGTATGATACAATTATATATTTTTGTGATGGGTCAAAATCATGTATTAATGAATAATAATTCGATATTCGATCAAAATCGAAGTTGTATTGAATTATTAAAAAGTAAAGTTGGTGTGAAACCATTTTCCATTAATTTGGCTCATTTTTTCTTTTTAGCTTAGGTAATTTTTTTTTAGTTTTTTTAATTATCTATTTTAACATCTCTCTTCTATATTTTGATAAAATGACAATAACAGTATCCCTATGGCACTTCATTTGACTTTTTCTTTTCAGTTGTTTTTGTCTTTTTTTCTTTTTTAATAAAATGAATTTTGTAAGAAATATGGTTGGTTGGAAGTAGAAATGTCCAAATAATTCGTATCTAATGAATTTTAACCGATTGATCCAATAAAAATAATTTTTTTAATTAAAATTGAGTTTAGGTAAGATGATTTTTTTTTTTAAATCGAGGTCAAGTCAAAAACAGATTTAGAATTCTCTGCCCTCTTTTGTTCGGGATATATACATAAAAGTATTTTTTATTATTTATTTAATTCTATTTGTATATATTATATTAATAAATAATACATTTATTTAATAAATAGTATATTTATTGTAATTAAAATATAATAGATATTAAAAAATAATATTTTTATGAATATTATATTATTGAATTAATTTTTGATAAAATCAAGTCAGATAATGATTTATATATATATAAAGACACACATACATTGAATCTATGTCAAATATCAAATCTGAGTCGAGATAAATATAAACCTGTTTCATTTCCTTTTTTTTTAAGGTTTTTTATTTTTTAGTTTTAACTTTCTTTTTATTTTGTTTATTAATTGTCTATTTTAATATTTTTTAACTAGATAAATTTGAAAGTGTAGATTTGTATTTGATTTGTTATATAAGTTATGATAATTAAATGAATACATTATCCACAAACTAATTGATAAATTTTTATTAATCATTATTTTTGTTAAAAAGTTATAAATGAAATTATATGCACTAATTTATTAAATTTAATATTATTTAAATATAAATAAAAAATTTGAACTCAGAATAAAGCGGGAATGTTGCTAGTAAAATATAAATGTTATAGATAAGTCAATGAAATGGTACCAAGATTAATAAACGTATTTACACCTTCTGTTGGCAACAAGAAATGAGAACCATACCCACAGGCTTGAAGTTTAGAGCAACTTTAGCTTCAACCTCAGCCATAGCCCATAGCCCTTCTAATTCCACCTATCCATAGGAGAAGGTATAGTCAAAATGGAATCAACTGCTGGTTCAAAATGCAGAACTGGCAAGCAATTTGGCTATATTGCCAGACAACTTGATGGTTTGGTTGATGGATGTATCAAGCCTTGTATTGCATCCCAGTGTCCTTCAGGCCATTCTTTGCAAGTTTTTCTCCATTTTTCTTGCCTGTTGGAATGGCTTTTATAAGGATAACAGACGCGCTTCCCTTTCCTCGTTTCTGAGGAAATCTGGAAAAAGGAAACCTGGATGATATTAAATTTAAGCACAAAAGTACATCTAATAACAATAATAATAACTGCAATAATTTGCTAGTCTGCATGCCTCTTTCTTAGAACTTGGGTAAGATCATCACGTGCCTCATCGCTAACTTCTTCCCCTTTTTCACTTGGAGCATTCCGCCCCTTGCATAACCAGAAGAAATTATAAACAAGTTAGAACCACTTCTGTCAATAACCTGTTAATGGTAACACAATGCTGAAAATGGGGGCAATCTCTCCACACTGTGAATGATCACATAGTGCATCAACATGCAAACAGGAATTGCCAATCTCACATACAAATCACAACAACATACACGTTTTACCTGCTACAGCTTGACCAAGGTCAAAATCAATAATGCAGAAATATTGGAAAAGTAAGTCCACATTTGAAAGCAAAAAGTGTTTATTGGATGGAAAAGCACAAAATAAACAACAAAAACCTTATTCCAGTGATGATACAACTGAAAAAGAATAAAGAGTCTCTTGCCAAAATAGAAAAAGAAAAATCAAGAGTTCAAGTGAACAGTAACTTAAGAGAGGGATTTTTTTTTTTTAAGTTACTTCCACCAAAGAAGAAACTGAAGATCAAACCAAAATTTTCAAGGGAACAGGCAATGAAACTCAAAATAAGACTCAATAAGAAGAAACTGAAATTCAGGAACGTTGAATTCATATGACATAACATCCAAGCACTGCAAAATATGGTTTTTAATGCTGACCGAAAAACTAATTATTGTTGCCCTCTGGGTTTCTGGAAATGAAATTCTCAATTAGATTCGTATGTCAAAACAGCACATTTATCACAACAGGCATATAAGGCTCATATTTTATTCCAAAACATAGTAGAAATTTAAGGGAAGCATCTCCATATGACAGAAGCTTTATAAGAAGTAACTTAATAACCAAACTGGTATCAGTGACTTTCAGAGTATAGAAAACAATAAATGGAGGTATCATCATCCGTGTTATCATTTTACAAAACCAAGATTAATCATTCGCACCCTTAGAGAATCTAAATCTTCCAGTCACTTTGTGCACCATAAATTTTATTAGTATCCTATATAGGGAGCACTGTTTTGATTATAGTCATCAAACATCAAACCATAGAACATCCCATAAAATCTAACAAAATAATGCTTGAAGAGCATTAAACAAATAAAATTATCAGATTCAAGATCAGCTGCTGAAACATAGAGACTGAATTCCATTCTCTTGAGCTGAAAAAATGGCATCAACAACAGATAAAGTTAAAAGCATTAAGAATAGCCAATCATTCAGGACAGAATTAGAAATAGAGCATATCAGATCAAGCCCGGACTCCTCGATTTGAAAAGGCAACATGTTAAACACTAAAAGGAGCTAAAAGTAATATATTCAATGTCTTGAACAGCTTAAAACAACATTTACAATGTCATAATTGTAATCAAACTCAGAAAGGTATATATACCAGAACTGAATTTACTCGTGCACTATCATTTCCTTCTAACTAAACGTAAATGATGACTTTGCCAATCATTAATTTACATAAACAATTCCCTTTCCTACTTCCAAAGCCAGCAAGAAGTGCAATATTCAACAAAGAACATCTAGTTATACATGCAATACTAAATCCTTCAACAAAAAACCAAAAACAGAATGGTACCAAACTCTTCAAAAGCTCACTTTTGAATTCTGAATACTAACTTAATAGGAACATAAATAACAAAATAACACACATTTGGGACATGTATCCTTAAATCTTACATGATTTTTAGGCGACCCACGTTCTCTTCCACTCGTTTCCTTCAACGACCAAAGCTCCGAACTCGAAACCTTCCGTTTCTTATTACAAACACCGACATTGTTGTCATCAGATGGAGGTTGAGGAGGAGGTGGTGGTGGTTTCCTCTTCTTTCTACCAACGGTGCGTGACTTTCCCTTCTTGTCCTTAACTTTCCAGATATTTTTCCTCCTAAAGATAAACTTGTCAACTTTCCACAGCTCGCAGCTGGTGTCTATTACCGTCACTTCACTTCTCGAGTACCCAAGCAGTTCTCTCTCTCCTTTCTCTTTCTCTTCTTCTTCTTCGTCTTCTTCCGAGTTATTATCGTCGTCATCTTCTTTCGATTCTCTCGTCGCTTCTTCCCTTGAATTCAACGACGCCGTTGAAGGGGGGATATTTTCGTCTTCTCTCACGCTATCCGAAGTGCTTTTCTGTTCCTCGGAAGAATTAACGTTAGGCGTCTTGATAATGCAGATTCTAGGGTTTTTTTGTTTCCTGGAAGTTTTTTTCCTCGAAAATCTGGACGTTTGGGCTTGTTCACCCATGTTGAAGAGCTCCGAGAGGACATTGCTCATTACACCGAACCATTCTTTGTCTCCAGTGGGCTCATTGGAGATCACCTCCGCAGATGGTGGCTTCCGATTCTGGAGTTGTTTTTCGTTGGAGTGAGTTGACTCGGATATGGAATTCGGAGAATTGGAGGCATTGGTGATTGGAGAATCGGAACGGTTAGGGTTAGCGAGGAAATGGTCGAGGTCAAGGTTGTCGGCGGTCGGGAAGCCCTTGCTGGAACGAAGCCGGTCGAGCCAGTTCGAACCGGACTTGCCGGTCGAGATTGAGCATAGCATTTGTCGATGTCAGGCTGAGCTGATTTAGCGTAATTCCTGAGAAAGCGAGAAGAGGGAAAACAAAATGGAAATCGAAAAGAAAAACGCTCTTCAGTTAACGCAGCAGCCATTCGGTTTCGTAGCCGAAAAAGGGTTAAGTTCTAGATTACACAAGGGTGAGCGATGCGCACAGTAAGCTCTTCGCCACTTGTCGCTTCAGGAACCCCTCTCTCCTCAATTAAAAAAACAAAAAAAGTCGAGTTAACTTCGACCCGTGATTCACGTTTACGATAATAAAGGCCTGGTCCGATTTACTGGACTCTTGGGGTCCATTCCTCTGACTATTCTTTTGCACCAAAAGTCCAAGCCCATGTAACAAATTCTGTCGAAGTAACCTCCCCCCCACCCCCAATGGAATAATTACTTTTTACAATATATATTATGTTTTTCTTTGTGGTTGATTTAATAATATGCATAAAAAAAAATTAGTCAAACTGTCAATATTTTGGATGAAATGGGGGCCGGGCTTTAACACTGACATATACCAACATGCAAGTACTCTGTAAACGGTTTAACATTCAAATCCTAACGAGAAATTTTAGTCATATGTGACAATTCTAACGAAAATATAAGTCATGTGATGTAGGTGATTAATTTTTGTTTAAATTTGATCGATTTAATCAAAAATTAAAAAAATAAATGCTAAATTAACTTCAATAAAAAAATATGAAGGGACAAAATTATATAGCTTCATAATTGAAAGATCAAAATGTCATTACCTCGCGATCATGCAAAAGAAACACAAAGCACAGAAAAGCAAAAGACAAAACTACAAAAATTTATAATTCTCTTTTCTTGAACATAGGGAACTGGGGACCAATCTACATTCATTCTCCACCTTGATACCGTGGGACTTCACATTACTAAGTCAATAGAGCTGTATGGCTTTAGGTAACTCATACCGGGAATTCTCACATGAAAACTGGTGTTAAACTACAGGAATCCTACTCTTTTTATCTGTTATGCTCATCCAGTTTCATTTCGTAACCAAAAAATAATAATCTTAAAATACGATAGCATGGATTTATCGGCTTATATAGTATTAATTTGGATTCACAAGGAAATTTGAAAATGCACTGTAATGATGATTGACTTATCCTGAAGGTTTTTGCCTATATGCGCTGTGCTGTTTTATTTCGCTCGTGTTTTTTTAGTAAAAGCTAAATCTGTTAATATCATATCAAATAATATTTTAATTAAATATATATATGTTGATCCTTCAAAATTTATAATTTTTTTAAAAATTATAAAATTTATTTCTCCACTAAACTAAGTTAGTTTATCAAAATTTTACTGAAATTAACGAAAGCCGTTAATATTATCTGATTCCAAATTTAATACAAAACGAGCTATCACCAAAACGAAATCACCACCATCGATAAAAACACAACTCTACTTCCAACTTGGTCTCCTTGGGAATCACAATTTCCATGTATTTATTTCCTCAGAATTATTTGCGTCATGGTTGATAAAATAACTTTCATAATCAAGAGGGTAAGCAAAAATTCTTCCAACATACAAAGATATCTAAACCTAAATCAACACAGAAACCAACAGTATAGATAGAAAAAGAATCCACGATGTAACTTGTTCAATCTCTGAAAAAAGTGAGGTAAATTAAGAATTTTCAAAACGTAAACAAAATTCAAGTAATGTTTGAGATGGGTCCAAATTTTCCGCAAAAGAGAAAATAAGAAAAGAAATCCAAACAGGAAGATTGTGCCTAATCAAATAAGCTGAATCCCATGTCATCATCACTCTCTTCCTTTTCTTCTACCTTTTTCTCCTCGACAGCGAGGGCGGCAGCAGCAGCAGCACCAGCAGCGTCGGTGCCAGAGGAAGCAGCAACGGGACCAGGGGCAGCACCGCCACCGGAACCGACTTTCGTGATGAGATCATCGACGTTAATCTTCTGAAGGAGCTTGGCGAAGAGGCTTGGCCAGTAAGATTCAACGCCCACGTTCGCTGCCTTCACCAATGTAGCTATCTTCTCGGCCTACGTAATATTTTCAACCATAAATAAAACAGAAGGAATAAAGAATTAAACAGATAATATAGAGTTATAAAAACATTGAAAAGAAAAAGTGTACGTACGGTGATTGAGATTCCATCGTCGTGGAGGATCAATGCGGCGTAAGTACAGGCGAGTTCACCGGCGGCCATTTTACCAAAAATTTTCAACAGTAAATCTGCCAGATAAATTAAACAAGCATACCCTAAGCAAATCGTTTTAACGACATATAAACTGAACAACGAGAGCAGATAGATTGAGAGGGAAAATACCTTAGCTTTAGGGTTTGGTTTGCCTGCTTGGCAGCAGGCGTCGAGACTTGAGAGCTTAGAGGATTTAGAAAAAGGCTTATATATATAGAGAGGTAATCGTAATCCTGTCAGGTCTAGGGTTTTGGTTGAGAAAGTTGGTGAATCGTCTTTGGTGGGCTTTTAAATCTTTTTGGGCCAGCTTTCTTTTCAAATTCCAAGCCTGAAATTATCAACTCATATATGTTTTTTTTAATATCTTTTTTTTTTTAAAACTAATACTTAGATTTTTTGGCCAACCAGTTTTTAACTAATATCAATTGTTATATCTTTGTTATACAACTGCCATTAGATCTAACAATTCATTATTTGTTGTGCTATTTATGTGTTATTGTGATTTTGTTATTTAAAGTATAAAATATAAAAATTATTATGCTATAATTTATATCAACTTAATAATTATAAAATATATTTTTTATTTTTTGTCAAATAATTTTTGTTAAATTTTTAAATCACATCATTTTCCTTATTTTTCTTAAATCTTATTGCCGTATCATATTTAAAATAACCAATCTTTTTTTTAGTATCATATTAGTTTAAATTAATGGATTTACCCATAATGAAAGTATAGCATGAAAGCATGAACAAAACCATGAAAAGAATTTTGATCCATTGTTAGTTCTTTTTAATTTTATCCCAATGCATAGTAATTCCTTCACATTTTGTATGTTAATGTGCAATTATTAATAATTAAAAAAAAGTTAGTAATAAAAGCGACAACCAAATTAAACCCGAATATCTGGGGCAAGCTGTTGATGAATATCTAAATTAACAACCAGGACAACACCAAGTGCAGTCTCACATGATTTCTTAAGGGTCACAGAAACCAAGCAAGATAAGTAGAATAAAATTTGAAACAAAAATGTTACTACCAAAATGACAAAATGATTGAACTCAGTTCATCATCCACCAGTGCCCAATGCGACATTACCACACAAATACCACTAATACCAAGGTTGTCCTCATAGCAAGTATCCAGAAATACCTTCCTTTAGACGTGCAACAAAACGTTCCCCTGAAATCCCATTCAGGCAATCAGTGCTGGACTTATCACTTCTTATTGTTCGCGCATCAGTGGCTAATCGATTGGGCCTGGAAAGATAATCAGTCCCATAAATGAGATTAACCAAGACTTCTCAAACTTAGCATCTGAAAATGATCTAGTTTACATTTCATGTTTCCTATAACTGAAGAGCAAGATTAAAATATATACTATGGTAAAATCATTTTGTGTCCTGCAATACATGTATAATGGATTAAATGGATGTGTACGGAATAAAGCAATGTTACTAATATGCTTGTTTGACAGTTAACCATATGTGCATTATAGAAGCAGCCACCGGAGAGACATCAACAATTTAGAGCAACAATATCGGATTATGACAGAGACACTCATGAACTGTGGGTGACTCTTAGCATCGAATATCAGGAATCAGAATTAACCTACCTTATCAGGTGATCCTGACCTTGACCTTGATCTTGATCTTGCTCTGAATCAATGAATAGAAAAAGAAAAAAAAAGTTTTAAAAAAGGTAAGGAAATTTAAAAAACAATAAAAAAACTATATAATAAAGCAAAGAAGCTAACAGCAAGTTGAGCCCCAATACCTTGATGACTTAACAGGAGAGGCAGATCTGGATTTAACCGGTGATTTGGACACAGATCGCTCCTGTGATTTACTAAATACAGGAGAGAAAATGGTTGAGGAAAAGATCGGACTTTTGGCATAAGGGTCAGCAAACCCCTCAAATAAAAATTCAATAATCATTTAAATCCCTTACATTTTATTGCAAAAATCAAGTCTTAAATCTTCTATTTCGAATCAGTTAAATCTTTAAACATCTATTTTCACCCAATGAAGCCTTCAATCGAACGAAAACAGTAAACCATTTTTCCTCTAAGAAGGGCTCAAATGGTGAAAAAAAAATATGAGGGTTTAATTGACAGAGGCTTGAATGATTCTTAACTTTTAGTTCTAGGGCTGTTTTGACCCTTTTGCTATTATTTTTTAAAGAAAAAAGATGAAAAAGACCAAAACGAGAAGAAAAAGGGGGTTTATACCTCCTGTCTCTTCTAATGCTCCGGCTTCTGCTGCGGCTTCTACTTCGGCTCCTTGATGGACTGCTCTCATATCTCTTTACCTATCCAAGTAGATGAACAAATAAACACCTGAGGCTTATCAAAATGAAACTTGATTTTGAAAATTTTAGATTGCAGACAACAAAAGGAAAAACAATTTCCACAAGTAATGTTGCTGGATCTACAAATCCAAATGGTGATTGTAACTAGTGAGAATTTTCAGAAACAGTACGGTTCCTGGGAGAAACAGAGGGTACAGAATAATTAGGGAAGTGAAAGATAGAGGGATCATCAGAGCATATTGATTCATGTGTTTACTTTCTCAAAGTACAAGCATTAGTCTCAGATATGTGAATGCATAGAAAGGGATTATAACTTTGCAATTGAAAACAATTCAACGGTTTCATGGATCTAGCCACATATACAATGGAATAGTCCTCGCTCATAAAATTCCCCAGGACTAACATTTAACAGTTCAAAACAATGAAGATGAGAATGTAGCAACAACAGTAAAATAGTAACAATAGAATAATGCGTAGGCAGTAATTAGACTTTTAATACTTGAACTTTGGGAAAATGTACAAATTAGTACTTAAATAAATAAAATGTACAATTTGCACCCTAAACTTTCAAATAATGTAGAATTTGCATACTAAACTTTCAAATTATGTACCATATTAACCCAAAATCTAATCCCACTAATCATATCTACTTATATATACTGCGTTTGATAAATATTATCAAATTATGTTTTCACCACAGCTACTATCAACATTTTTTTTTATTATAAATTAATAATAAATATTTTTAATTTACCTGAACAGTAAAAAAATCTAAGATCGGTCAATCATTTTTCATCATGTGAAATCCACATGAAAATTTTTACTAAATATTTAACAAATAAGACGCATATAACAAAAATTATACTGGTTAGATACCATATAGACGAGTTAAGTTAACAATATTCGAATTTGGATTAAAATGATACATTATTTGAAAGTTCAAGGTGCAAATTGTATATTTTATTTTTTCAGGTACCAATTTGTACATTTTTCCAAAGTTCAGGTACAAAAAATGTAATTAACTCTTACCTGAATATAAGCTTTTGCCCAAGGATTTCTAAACTCGGTATCATCAAGTTTACGGACCTGTATAATGTTAGGACATGTCAGTTGGATTAAAAGCATTGAAAAAAAAAGCACAAATTCACAACAAGGAGGTAGAGAAGTTTCTTTCCAAACCACTTACTGCATATTTCATGTCATCATAATTGGTATAATCAACAATACCAAAAGTCCCTGAATGAATGGAGAGAGACAATAAATAAAAACTAATTCAAAATCTTGAAGGCCTAAGAAATAAGAAAATTCAGTTGAAAAATCATGAAGACACAATAACAATTTCATTCCATTCAAAACATGAAGGGAACAACCCATAAAACAATCAGAATTAGATGCTCTATACAAGCATATAAAAGGGAAGTAGCACGAACAACTGATCTTGTAATTCTAAACATCACCCAATTTGAACATCAAAAAACATCCATACAAGTCTGCCCATCATAAGGAGATAAGAATATCAAATTGCAACATTTTATAGCTAATAGAGTTGGAACAAGGTAAGATTCAACATATGAACATCAAATGAAAATACAAAAAGAAAAAGAAGAAACCGAGGGAGCAGAAAGGGTATGAGGTTAACTACGAACTGTAAATGCTCATTAATACATATCCTCAGTTCATACCATCACTGTCACGCGAAATTTCAGCAAAACACACATCACCAGCTTTTCGCATGTGATCCTGAAAAGAAGTTACAAAATAGGTAACAATTACAGCAGAACTAACCAAGCCTAAAATTTGTTTTCAGTTTTAAAGTTCTCAAACCTTCAAATCTTGCCAGGAAGCAGAAGAAGGGAGCCCGCGCACAATAACTGCAGGACCAACAAGATGTGCGTACACCCATATTTTAGCACAAAAAGAACCAGATAAGTAACTAAAGGATGACACAGTTCATCTACTAGACAGACCTCGATATTCAGAATGGCGTGAGATGCCAAATTTAGCTGCACCCCCACCATATCCACCCCGACGATCACTTGAGGATTGTCCTCTACCACCATGAGCAAGCTCAACCTACATCAATTACAATGAAAAGCCGATCAAGAAAAAGTTCTATCAATAGTATATACATCAAAACAAAAAGAGCCTCTTCAAAGTTATTACCCTCAAACGACAACCATCAAAGTTATAACCATCTCGACCCCTGATTGCATCTTCAGCATCTCGAGAATTCTCAAACTACGAAACAAACACAAGTAGCAAGAAATTGTTTCAGTTTATTTATACATCCTCCATGAAAAGTGAGATGAGAAATGTACCTCAACAAAACAATAACATGGAGGGCGTGGTGGAATCTTCAATTCGATATCCAAAATACGACCATACTGTAAATGAGAAACACATGTTATAAAACAACACAACTAATCAACCAAAAGTAAATAGAGCTTCAAATACATTAATGCTGTGGTTCATCAAATCAAAGTATGTCTAATATACATTCATTAAAATCAAGTACAAGCCTAATGGAAATTGATTAAATTCAACTACAAGATTCAGAGCACCTCACAGAAAGGTTATATTTGTTCTTTCACATGATAACAAGGCATTGGCAGAAAAGTAAATTCAACACGTACCTTGTAGAACAGATCTTCAACCTCCCATTCTCTAATATCAGAGGGTAGGTTGCCAACATAGATTGTGCGTGAGAAGCGACCACTCATTTCCAGTACCAGAAAAAAAAAATACAACTATCTCACTGCATGCAAAGAACAGAACCAAATTAATAGAGAAAGAAAATTCCCAATTAAAATTAATGTAATTCTATCCACTCGAACATCCCATTATCATCAGCATCTACTCTGATGATAAGGAAAAAAGTTATTGCACAACCAAAAACCATGAAGCAAACCAAGAGGGCAATTCCTCCAATATTGAGCGGTGCTCCACAAGCTCCATTGCTCATTTGCTCCAAAGATGCTCCACAAGCTATAACAAAATTTGAAACTTAATTTGGTCTCTTCATCCTCCCATGAAGATTTTGCCAGAGCTTCAAAAGGGAGGAACAATCTCCAATCATTATTAAAAAACAAAACCAAAACTCAAAACTCCATGATTCTCCCCCTCCCTTCCTATACCCCCATGTATCATTGCAAAGCTCTTATTTGTCCGAGCACTTGTCATCTATCATAAACAAAGCATGCGTGTCACCAGATGAGTAAGATTTTCAGACACATTATTTCATTTTACCTCACTCGTCTCTCTTATTCAACTACATTGAAGAACAATAATCCCCTTGAAAATACATTTTTATTCCTAGTTTTTTCCCCCTTTCTTTATAAACCCAAACCCAAATAACCACGATTACTTTTAACAGATTACGATAATCAAAAAACAAAAACGATATTTAAAAAAAAAAAAAAGGTAGAAATGTAAGTAATGAGGAGCTAAAGACATTGTACCGAAGAATTGAAAGCTTGGGAAGAGTGGAGCGGACCCGACGAGAGTCAATTAGAGATGTAAAACCGGAGCTTGATTGAGTGGAGCTTCGTGTTCGAGCCTGCCTGGTCAACTAGCTAGGGTTCGTTTCTCTTCTTCCTGCTCAAATCTAAAGTCGAGTCCGCGAATCCTCTGGTGGATTTAGCTAAAGCCCATTCGATTTGTTTTTAAGTTTGAGGGGCTCAAACCGGGTCTGATCCAAGTCGGCCCAATTTCAGAATCCGGGTCGTATCTTTTAAAGGGCACCTAGAATACGAGGTCGTTTTATTAACAAAATTAAAATAGCTTCTTTATATACTGGCCGTCGCCGACCGGACTCGAACTAAAGTTTTCAAATTTCTTTTTGGCCAATTTAGGTTGATGCCGGGATCTTTCTCTCAACCTCAACGGTCATTTCAAGGTCACATTTTTCCCTCCAAATCTTCAGTTGCTGGTTTCCACAACCAAACAAACATCTTCCCTTCCTTGTGTCAAGTCTTCAACCTTCTTTTTTTCTTTCCTCCTCTTTTCCAAACAAAATAAATTTAAAGGAAGATAAACTTTTTCTTTTTTTTTTTTCTGTTGACAGAACAGGGCAACGGTTTCGCGTTTCCAGGCGGCAACTCTGGTGGACTGGCCATCGTAACCGAACTCCATCGCCTGGTTCGACGAGAGTCTATTTGCCGTTGCATCCGGTCACCTCGTCACCATTCTGGTGAACATGTTTTGATTTTTTTTTTAATTTTGTTTGTTATATAAGTTGTTACGTAGATTTTTCTTTTAAAACCATATGTTTTCAATAATTTTCAGTGGGATATATTTTGGCCGTTAGAAAGTAGGAAATTAGAACCTTGAAATTCTTGTGAATTGCCATCTTTTATTCTGTTTGGTTTACAAGAAACTTCTAACCAACGAAGAAGGAAAAAGAAAAAAAAATGTGTATACTTTCTGATGTGTAAAGTAGAAACACTGTTTTGTTGCTAAGAATTGAGACTGCTGCTAGACTTTTTTTTCCTTTTAAAAAACCTTTCCTTGAATTCTTTTATCAGAATCCGGCATTGCCCTTTGGACCTCGCGACCTGATCACTTTTCTCAAGAGTGAAGCTTACCCCATTGTGGTGGTAAAGAAAGAAGGTACGTCATGTTGCGAGTTTCTATAAATCGGAAATGTGGTTAAATTGTTCCTCCATTTTATTAGTTTTATAAACCTCAAAAGATAGAGGTACTTAAATCATTGTTTTCTGCAAAATCGGGTTGGATTTGGTCATTTACTTTAATTCGACGTCTCTTCAGATCTAGCATCTGGCTGTTTGTTGCCCACCACTTTAAGACGGCATCCTCATCCCTGTGTTCAATCAATTGCATGGTCTAATCTTGGAATGGCTCCTAACTCTAGGTAAGAACTTGAAAGATTTCGTTACATTACCTTCTTGTTTTCTGCCCTGCATTATCAGTACTTTTGTAAATTGCTCCTACAAAATGTAACTCTATAAAGGTGGTTGCTGGCTGTGTGCACTACAGAAGGATGCATAAAGCTTTATCGATCTCCCTTTCTGTGCTGAGTGGATAGAGGTATGTACTCAGGGGTCAGGATAAATGTTTTGGTCTTAATGTAGCAAGTTATAGATGTTGTTATTTCCCAAGAAATATTTGAAGCCACTAAGGTGAAGTAGATCCTCAAATTCTTGAGTTGTTTGTTTACAATGTAGTGAGTACCATAACAAAATCAGAAAGAATGATGAAGTTTAGTTTTGTAATAACCATATTCTATATAAGTTGATATTGTGGGGATTAACACTTCCTAGATAATAGATGATATAAAGATGAATAGGTTGAATCATATTTTGTATTTTTCCTGTTGCTTATATGCAATTACTGATAATGACTTTCTCTTCTTCAAATTTTCTTTATGTTTTGAATATAACAGATAGGCTTTATGATTATCTTGCAAGTATTAGTTTTGAGGAACCAGTCATTCCTCCCAGGAAATTTCTATTGTAAGCCCTTTCATCCATTAATGAACAAAGCTTGCATTAGCTAGCTACCTCATTCTATTTACTCATATGAATCCCTTTTTTATTATGTTTATTGTTCAATCAACCTTGACAAGCTTTTGTCTTCTTCTACTAGGAGCCAGTGCTGGCCCATGGTTGTGTTGATGATCCACCAGACTCTGTTTCAGGAAAGGAGCTCAAGCAAAGAAGGGTGAACACTTCTGGTGTTAGGTAAGCATGCATTCCTCTTGCATAAGCCTACAAATGAAGAAAAATTCAATCCTCTTGAGGCCGAAGGAGGCTACTAAATTAAAGCAATGAAATTAGCAGCATACTATAATCTACAGCCAAATGTTTTTTAAAATGATCAAAAGGAGAAGAAGTAAGGGTTGTGATCTGAATGCAAAGAATATCAAGCAAAACACCAAAACTGAATTTAATACATATTCATGAGTTCTTGTGGTCATCCTAAGGTTAGCCTTTCCGATCTCTTGTTATAGCACAAGGCATCCTTTTATAAAGTACCCTAAAAATCTTAGCTTCTATATATTTTTTAAATGAATGTGGTGCAGGAACTTTGGCTCAGAAACTTCTTGTGAACAAATATCATTATAAAAATGGCAAGGATGTCAATGCTGATCCCAGCCCTTCCTGTGAAGTGGCGGGACAGGGTCCTCCCAAGGTCTGGTTTTTGTGCAAAAATAATTTTCTTCTGCTCTCCTATATGTTGTCCAGTTAGCATTCTTTTTAGCAATTTAATCCCAATATCATGCTTAGTAAGCTGCTTACTATGAATTTGAAAGCTAGCATGCTTCTGTTTTGGTTTCAAATGCTAGTGAGACCTTAGCTGTGCTCTTTGTGAATTAATTTTCAGGTGCTGAACAATAAATCTGGCCAAGGAAAAAGTTCATATCAGACAATTCCTCCTATCAAATCTAAAGGAAAATCTACTAAGAAAATACTTGAAGTTTGTATCCTACCTTTGATAACCGCAGTATGCTTCACTTAGTGCAATGCTATCATCACTTGTTGTTGCCTGGTCTCCACTGCTCAAATTATCATCTGGAAGGTGTCTGGTTCCTGAAAATAATTCATCCAACTGCTTTTCTCTGCGAGCAGTTGGATTGGAGTCTGGTAAAATTTCATTCTGAAGAATTCGTGCTCCACAATGCTACTCTATTGAGCAAAATGGCGCCCCTACTGCTGTGGAGCTCGTTGGGATCCTTCAGGCACACAATTCCTGTGTCACCACAATAAGTTGGGCCTTGCTTGCTTCTGATTCTTCAAATCCTTAAGTTTTATTAGCTACTGGGAGTTCTAACAGGAGGTGAGTTTGGTATGCTTTTACATTGTTTCAACTTTTCAACTTTGAAACAACTTTGGTATTAAAATTTCTTCTATAATTGGTATCAGAGATGTTCTTAGGTTTACATCTTCTGGATTTAATTTTGTAAATCTTATCCATCTTATCCTTAACAAGAACCTAAAAGGTTGTTTTCTACTTCTTATGCACTTCCTTGTTCTTCTTTTATATAGTGTGAGGATCTGGATATGGCATGGGGAGGAATTGTTAAAGTCATCAGAAGTTAACAATGCTCCATTTTATCTATTGAAGGAGGTATAATGCTCCTTTTTTTCCTCTGTTGAAGGGGGTAGCTCTTACTTCTTTGTTAGTTGTATCTTCTTATTTGTTTATATTTGTCAATAAAATCTAGTCTGAGTTGTAAATTTCTGAATAGATTTTAAATATTTATGCTGTCCCAGTCTTGGTGCTTTCACTTATGCCTACTCAGTCGCTTAATAAAATGCTTTTGGAGGTTGGCAAAGGATCTGGAGCTTTTGAAGTATGGGTAGGAGACATATCTGTGAAAAGGTTTAATAGAGCTGGCTCATATGATTCCCATGACCAAGTTGTAATTTTCTTCCTTTTTGTTCATTCTCTTTTCTGCCGCATCTCCCCATTGATTTATCTTTGACAAAATGTCTTCAGGTTACTGGTTTAGCTTGGCCTTTTGATGGGTTATTTTGTACAGCTGCAGCCAGGTATACACTTTTACAAATTTCTGGTGCTTCATATTTGCTATTATTCAGTTAATTTCTCAGTAATTTTTTTAGATTTCTATTTTTTTTGTATAGAGATTATAGGCGGCTACTATTGACATTTTTAAAATTGAATCCATTCTATCTTTTTTATCTGAACTGTTCAGTCAATCATGTTGCCTTATTTCTTTGCTGTCTAGATGTACTTGTCTTAAAAGTAAATGTCTCTAGCAGACACTACATATTTGCAAGTTACTTACAGTTAGCATTGTTGCCAGATTGAGCTGCAAGGGATACATTATCTAAGTGGGTTAAAAATCTGAACAACATTGTTTAGGCCCTTTTAACATACCAATTCTTAGTTGTTTTCATCCTCTGCTTTCCATATATATATTTTTTTCCAGTAGAAGAATTGTAGAATGCAACAAGGAGGTTTTGTAAGCCATGAATGTGTTCATGCCTTGTCAGTATCTCTGCTACATTTTTTATGGCAATACATGACACGCTTTTCTTGTATTGAAGTTTCACTGCCAAAAAGAGTTATGTATGCTTCATTACTTAATTAATAATATCAATTTCTTTAGATAATTTACCAAATACCACTCCTTAGTCATTAGTTGCCACTCTTTAGCTGTCAAAAGGTGGAAATTGCAGGTTGAAATTTTAGTACTGTATGTTATAATTTGTCATAAGCATAAATATTATACCATTGAGTTGCAGGTATATTCGTTTACTTATTTATTATGTTATGAATGATATTAGGATAATTGTGTACATAGCTGGAATTTACATGGGAGTTCCCTCATAGAAGTACCCATTCCCTCAAGTTCTTCTTGGCTGAGGAGCTTCAGTGATGTATGATGCCACCTTTGCTGGTCTCCCTTACTTTTCTTCTTTATGTTTAATGAAATGTGATGAACATTTTTGCAGCTCCCAGATGTGTTTATTTCATGCCTCAGTCTGGTGGTATCACCCAGTAATCTTGCAGTTGCTATGGTATGATGTCTTTCCTAAATCTCTCCCATTCTTGTCGCTATTCTACTTCTTTCAAATTTGTTAATGTTCATATCCAGAAATTGCTTTGGTGAAACATATGCATGTGTTTTTAAAT